GATATAACTATAGTAACGCCGTTGAACAATACCTTTGAATAGCATTCCACTAATAGTAATTGCTCGATAACACGAGGTCGAATAGTAATCCGTATAGTGATCCGAAAAGAGGAATAGTATAGTGAATAAAGTAGAGAATAGCGGTCCGTATAGTAATAGTTAAGAATAGAAATAGCGATATATTTAGACGCCAAGTTAATTCCTAATTATGCTTTTCCTCTATGGTCACGTGGCCTACTTAATCCAATAATGGGATCGCCTTTTTGATCACTTGCGATCTATGCTCAAACTCAACTGTCGGCAGCGACACTTTATTCCTATATAACAATGTGTGCATACCTGCATTCGTGCACACGCATAAATACACCCGCACAAAAAAGCATAAATATATAAACACACACCCGTACAAAAATAGGTACACACATAAAAATCTAATCATAACCTAAAATAAATGGTCAAAATTGATAGTAACAAACTAGGATACAATGAAAGCATTTACAGTTAACAGAAATACAAACACGAACACGCAATTAGAAGCGCATACACAAAAACATACACGTGCGGCTGTGTGTGTACGTGCATGTTTTTATGTATGTATATACATATATGCGTCACACGCATAGGCACACACACATAAACATGCACCTGCATAAACACACATGCACGCACACACAAAAAACAACCATAATACAATAACAGTGAATCAGATGACACCGGAGAAGGTGAGGAAAGAATGAAAGAATGAAAATAAAGGCAAATGAAAGGGAGAGGAAATGAAGTCGACAATCAGTCCGCTGTCATTGAATGAAAAACGCACCCACACCACAATAAAAGTACAAAGAAAATCGAGAAATATTAACAGTTTGACTCTGTTCTGAAGAGTAGTTGCATCTATGTAACTACGAAACTTTGAAGAAAATATGAGTTAAGTGAAAGAAATGTTATTATTTACACACACACACACACACACACACACACACACACACATATATATATATATATATATATATATATATATATATATATATATGTACGCGTATAAAAAGACAAAATATTTGAAAATTTAATAAAAATTGAAAAAGGGGGGAATATTGTAAGACTATTAAGTGATACAAGATAGTAATCCGTATGGAATTTCCAGGAGAATATAGACCCAGGGAGAGCTCTATGTCAAAAGACAGAACAAAATTATTATTAATTAAAGAATATCCAGCACTTAAAATCCCATAGGTTTTATTAAAATTTTTATGTTCCTAATGTTTTTAAAAATGTTCAACTGTAAATGGTTTTGGTGATTTCTTCGACTTGATTTTTCTAATTAGGTTCATATAAATAATTTTCGAAGGGTTCCAAGCCTTTATTTCTTAGTGGAGAATTTTGAGATTTCAGATTATAAGTTTCTTTCTGATTTTGTTGATCTTCACGAGGATTCAATGGGAAGTAGGTCTTCCATCGCATTCTCTTTAGTTGGTCAATGATTTTCTCTGTCAGGGAAATAGTGAAGCAGTGTAAGGAAGGTATGGTATGTTTTTAAGTGAGTAGTCCGGTGTAAATTTTTCCATTCTCACATGGGATAGGTTGGTTAAGTAATTTGGTAGGAAGCATTCCAAGTAGAGCTCAACTTATTCTCATGAGGAGCAATATAGTAATGATACAATATGGTAATCCGTATGGAATTTCCAAGAGGGTATAGATCCAGGGAGAACTCTATGTTAAAAGACAGAGCAAAATTATCTTTAATTAAAGAATATCAGACACTGAAAATACCATAGATTTATGGGATTTTAAGTGTTTGATATTATTCAAAATATATATATACCATTAAATAATATAGACATTTGTGTCTATTTTATATTGATTAATTGCAGTTGTCTATTCAGTTTCCTGATGTTGAGATGAAATTCGTCAAGGCTGGCTCCGTAGTTTTTCTTTTATTTTCACCCAAGAACTTTCCACCTTTTCTAAGATCGTTTCAGGGATAAATTACTCATTGACAACCTCATTATACTACACGACGAAAATAATAAAAAAACAACTCCAGATTCTTTAGGCCCTTTATATAAAAATCAACCAACTAACATTCAACAAAATTTATTACGAATATAGCAACAACATATTAAATTGCATATAACATTTATATACTAATGCCATTTTACATTTCTACAAATTTCCCGTTAGTTTTATGGTAACAGTTTCCTCTGTCGCATTTCTCACTTATGGAACTCTCTTCCAGTTTCTTTCTTTCCAGTTAAATTTGATCTTCGATAATTTAAATGCAATGTCAATCGTTATCTTCTGTCTTCTTAATTCCTGTTCTTTTATTTTTCTCCCTCCTTAATAATGTTTTCTTTTTCTCATATTCTCTAACACACAGTAAGCCATAGTGGTTCTATTATCTTGCTTTGCGAGACATGTTCGACGTTTAATGATTCAGTAAATACCTTACTAACTCTAAGGCAGCACTTGGTGACATATTCTTACTTGGTAACTTTCTTCTTTGACCTGTGTCCTTTAATCAAATCAGCCATCATCTTTTTAGTTACGTCATATTTCTGAATAAGTAAGCATAACTCGTGAATTAATATTTTCTAATGTTATTTAATGTTTCATGAGATGTTATGATTTTGAGCCTAAAATAATTATATGCTTATATAAATGAACAGTATTTCTAATAAACGTTTTAAGTAGTAATATTTGTATATTTCTTACTGGCCGTTATCCAGCAACTGAACACAACAAAGGTAAAAATCACAATCTGAATGTGGACACATTGCCAATGCGAAAAGTTAGAAAATGTAAAATAAGAAATATGAAAAACCTGAATAGTAGCATTCTTAGGTTATGTAAAATAAAAATAGAAAATACAATCACTATTTCATAAGTGATGGTCACAGAATCATACACGAAGTAGAGGGGAGTGAAAGGCGAGCCGGACTTATATTAGATAAAGACAAGAAGAAACGTGCCTTAGGGAACTGCCGCCAACTTTCAGACAGTCCTTCTCGTGAACTAAAAGACAAACCATTCAGCATGGATATCGTATTTCTAAATGCGTCAGAAAACAGCGAAAAGAAATAGATGATCTCAGAAAATGCCAAATCTCGGTGCACAAGCCATGTCAAAATAGGAAGGCAAGAAGATAAAGAAGTGTTTGGTAAGTATGAACTTGGGTCACGCAAGGAGCGCGGAGAAAAATGGGTCGATTGGTGCACAATAATAACAAGTGCTTGTTTTGATAAACACCCAAGAGCTTGTGGACTTGGAAAAGGCCAACAGGATACATTAAACCAGATTGAATACTTGACCCACGATAACAAAGTTAACATGTTTTTGACACCCAAGCTACATGAACTTGCTGACCACTGTACAATATCAATCTTCCCTGGTTATATACAGTATGTCACAAGCCAGCAGATGAGGATCTAATACATAATAATACCAATAATTTGCGAGATATGTTTGCTAACCCTTTTCGTTGCCGACATTTTGAAAGATGTGTGAAGTACAACGGTGAATGATTTGTGACTTAATATATGTTAAATTAAAGTATGTTCCTGGAGCTTCAAAAAATTGTTACATTTCTTGCATTGAAAATTCATTATTAATTACCCGAATGGAAGGTGTCAATGACTTACGCATTAATTTTAATTAATAGCCTCCAAGGAATATGTACACATACTGTATTTCCGACTACTCTAATGACATGGGATGAACAAATTAGAAAACTAACTCTGAATTGTTGTAATTGTCATGAACGGAAGATGCCTTTGGGAAAGTAAAGTTCTCAAGATTTTACACAGATAGTACCTTCCTTAATTAAACATCATATTTCTATTTGTGCGAATTATTGCACAAATATTAACTGGTAGCCATCATAAGAACAATCCGTGTGCTACTGATAAAATCTAAACCAGAACTAATTGCCGAATGGCCGGGTTATCTATACCTACCTATCTATCTATCTAAACCTATACCTAAATCAAGCTTTTGCTGGTGAAAAGAGTGGCTAGACGCATAAATTAAAACGAGTAGAACAAAAACGACAGATGGATATTACTGTAGGGCCAAGGGCCATCTAGCAAAATAGGATATACTGGGCTCCATAGACATATATGCAGTCATTGATACGACATCGGTGGCCGGAAGGCTTTCTCGGCTGAAAACGGTCAGGATGAAGACTTCCTCTGATGGAATCAACGAATACGTATCCGAAACTTTAACTTCAAGGACATTGCTTGTGGTTTGACATGTGGAGAATGAATTCTTTCTTCGGCATTCAACCCAGACATATAGCTGTAACTGCTCAGGTTCACAGCGACCTTATGACCACCCCGGTTATCGGACTGATGACCTTAATGACAATCCTTTGAAACGTTTAAGATAATAGATATTCAAGAGGCTGGGTGTATATTTCGGAGATTGCTGAGCATGTTGGACTCGATGTATTGGCGTGCGTCGAAGTTGAAAATAGCAAAACTAATTTAATATTTCTAAACTTATAGACCAACATTGGGCGACCACGTAGTGTTAAAACATTGTAGATCGGCGCATTGTAAGTTAAACAGTGACAAAATGCATAATATCCGCAGTACAGAAATGGTCAAATTTTGCCACAGCAGTGTTAATATAAGCCGATGGGTATCGCTTATATCAGGACTATATGAATAATCTTGCCTCTAACCAGACCTTCACTTGCCCCATAACATTATCAGGTACGTCGCCAGTGAGGACGTGAGTCAGTTGGGGGACTCAGGAGTGTTTCGTGTGGATTTATTGATTGATTTAATTTTTTACGGTTTACCAACCTTTTGCAGGTTATTTAAAGTCAGAAAATATTTCTGGAGATGATAATTATTTACTGATACAAGCCCTCCTATTTAAACTATAGCTGGGAGAGAAAAGGTGGATCCATCCTTTTCTCAAGTGTATTTGCGTTTAAGGGAATATAACCGACAGTGCTGGAATTGAATCTAACGTCCAATTCCGAGCCTTTATGCATTTGCATCACTTGCACATTCCCAAGCAGTTACCCATCTAGGTACTGACCAGACTCGACGTTGCTTAACTTAGATGATCGGACGAGAGCCGATGTTTCAACGTGATATAGCCGTAAGCCGTTCGATATTGAGAGCATGTTGTACATTGTTGTAAATGATCGTGTTTCAGCGACACCTGGCGAAGGAAATTTCATAGTGCCCTGGAGAGTGACATTTCCCAGCGTGTAATCGGTCGCCACGCACAAAGGTAAGTTGTTCAGTGTCTGGTATGTTCACAACAATACCCAATTAGTTCTGCTAGCATTCCTGGAACAGGACGACTATGTACATTACTAAAAGGATAATACCTGTTCACATGATGTTGACTTTAGGTTGAACTTAATTTAATCTTCCTATTAAAGTAACGTTTTCATTAAGATAGATTACTCAAGTGCACTAAGAGTGCTCTTTCTTGTACTGATGAGCTTTCCTTCCTGATTTTTCGTAGTACTGTGGAATGTCAGCGTTTTTATTATGCATTTATTTTCTCTTCGATTTAGATCTGTTATATATTTTGTTTTTTGGTTGTCGTTGAATGTCGTCAAGTGGTGCAATTCCTATTGTTTGGTACAGTTCCTTGTTTGGGTTTCTGTAGCGCTAGATCCGAAGACGCGTATCCATCACTAAGACCTACAGGATTCACTCGCCTGAAGTCATTTTTAAGCATCGATCTGAGAAAGTGATTGAATGCAGCTGACAATTTAGATATTTCTGAACGGGTTCGGTGCCAAGCATGACATTCTATGAAAGTCTAGATCTGACGAGGCTGTTTAAGAAGAACTCCAGAAACCCTTGCGCAGATATTACTTAATCCACCTTCATAGAATCTCTCAGCTTTCTGGGAATTGATTGTGCATAAACATTTGGGTAGACAAAAATACTACACTAGGTGACAGAAACTGCCATAGAACGTGAAAATTTGATTCCAAAGGAAACTAGGTAATTCTTATACTGATAAAAAAAATTGGAACATTTATTAATTTTGACTGACATTCCTATAAATGTCTCTGGAAAGATATATATTCATAGGGTTTACTTTGGAAAGTATTATATAAAATAAGCGAGGAACATTAAATTTTAATTCTGTTTCTAATGTAGTTTTAAAAGATGTGTAAGCAGCTGTTATGTTAGCTAGTAATTATTTAATTTATTTATTTGTTAATGTATATTTTAAATTTATATTTTTTTTTCCTTTTCTTCTTTCAATATTGTTCACTTTATCGCTTCTTTGAAAGAAATTCTCTCAGTAATCAATCAATGATACAAAAACTCAATAATCTCCGCTTCATTGATCTTGTATCGATTTTATACACATTTTGGATGTTGTCAAATATGGGCCTGCTGACAAAAGGAAAGATTTTTACTCTCTACTATCTGAAACCTTAACGAATTTCAACAACTACCATTATTCATTATCTTGTTTATCTGGTCTTCTCCTGCTCTTTAAATGTGTTTTCTAATTCTCTCCCTAATCTCACCCAACCTTCATTGCCCGATCATGTTTTTTAATGAATTTTATATAGTCAAAAATTAGTTTCATATGCGAAAATAAATTAAAGAATATATATATATATATATATATATATATTATATATTATATATATATATATATCTTTTATATATTATATATATATATATTTTTATATTATATATATATATATATATATATATATTTTATATATTATATATATATATATCTTTTTCTTTATTGCGCCATAAAATAATTTCCACATATCGTAAATGTTTGACCTTTCTATCTGTCTGCTTTTAATTGTTTTATATATATAGTCCTTTGAAATCCAGCCAGCAGGCTTGTCCCTCAATGACCACTTTTGTTGCCATCGGCTCTCCATTCGCTCTTTTTCTCTATCACTATTTACGGACACACACACACACACACACACACACACACACACATATATATATATATATATATAACATAAGTGAGTTGCTGGTGGCAATGAAACAGTATGTTGTATAATACAACAGAGCTACAATTTATACTACTAATAAATATAGATTTGTTCCTAAGCATTTGGCACAACTTTGAGTTTCATGCACGTGGTAATCGACAGGTACAGACTGAAAATTAAAAATCTGTGCTTGTAATTCAGAGTTGTAGCAAACACTGAGAAAAAAATGTATATTTATTATGATTCCTTGTTTCCAACGTTTTCATCGCAATGGATTCTGTCATAATATGATTGTGCTGATTTCTCAGCAGGAAAGCATATTGGATTTTTGCCCAGAAGGTCCAGGGATTCAGGCAAATACTTTATTGTCGGAGATAAAGTCCGTCACTTTAAGAAGGTAGATTCTCTAAAAAAAATAGACTCTCATTCTATTTGAATCAATGGCTTATATCCCCGTTTTTTTTTTTTAAGAGAGATTCGTGATGATTAGAGAGTTTTTTCTGAATAAAATGCTAAACTACTAAACTACAGAACCTTCTAATTCATTCCACACGAAAGTAGATGAAGGCAAAATTAAATGAGTTCGATTATTATTAGTAGTAGTAGTATTTTCTTTGATTTCTGGCGTTTACACATTTCTTTCTGGGTCCCCCACAGGGACCTAAGGTTAGAAATGGCATCATGACACTTTCCACTGAAAAATAATTACATAGACAAAGCTCTTCGTAAAGTGTTGGCTGTACTTGTGAGAACCATTTTTTGTATCTCTTTGAGGCATAGACTTCCAGGAATCCCTTCAATTAGTCTACTGAAATATTTTCCAACCAATCCTAGGGCTCCAACTACAATAGGCTTGTTGATGTTCGCATATGCCACATTTTTTAGATTTATTATTATTATTATTATTAACTCTTTTTAAGGAAAGCTTTTTGTTTTCAATTGATCTTTTACCGAACAAGTGGTTGAATGAGCTTTCCTAGAAGTTATAGAAGATAATTTTAAAAAGAGATTATTTTTTTCTCATACATCAGACCCTATTTTGCTTAAAGTTTTATCATGATGGGCACTAATTTATCTTGCAACATTTCGACCCTGTATAATCAAATAAAAAAACAAACTCATGCCTAAGGCAAAAAGAGAAGTTATGGGAAGGGGGGATATTATTCTTTCTCTGGCACAATCTACTGTCTACAAAAAATGTTCAATATAATTACTCATTTTTAAGAAGAACTGCCATGTTCGATATAATTGCTAATTTTTAAGAGGAACAAAATATTTTCTTTGACGAGCTGAATGATGACGCTTCAAAATTCTAAGCCGTCAACAGAAATCGCAATTGTTTCAATTTCTCAAAATGAGTTTTGCTTCTCTTCGGGCAAAAAATTAATATGGTTGTGAGATCTACTTGCAAGGAATGATACATTTTTAAAAATCCTAATGTTGAGAGCATATTTTCTTCTTTTATGTGGGTTGTCCCTTTGGGACGTATAGCCCTACACATCTTCTTGACCTTTGTAGCTCTTAATAACTGTTGTTTTTTTGTTATTTATCCCAAACTGTCTCCTGCCATCCAAGCCTGTTACTCGTTGCTTTCCTCTGTCTCTCTTTTCATCAATCTGTCCTGTGAGTATTAGATTTTCAAACCCTTCCTTCCTCATTAAGTGCCCCAGAAACTCCAGCTACCCCTTCCTAATGTTAAGTATAAGTTTTATTTTTGTTTCCATTTTCTATAAAACCTCGTCGAACCCACATTTCTGTTGTTTGTAGCCTTTTCTTCATCTTTGCGGAGATTGTTCAGCATTCGTTGTCATATAGAAGGACAGCCTTTGGAATGCATCTTTGGCCACCCCAATGTGTCTTCGGATCTCAGTGCCACATTTTCCGTTGACAGCACCAACAATACCTTAATCCGTCCATGAATCATTTTTTTTTTCTCAGCATCGCCATTACTTATATTATCATCTTTCTCAACGTCATTCATTTCTGTATGTTGTAAAGATTCATTTAATATGTGATCAGGCCTTAATTGTCGGGAAATTTTTGCTGCAATGTTTGTTTTGATTAATTTTAGTTTATATTTGAGTTATGTGAAATTAAAATGTTTTCATTATTCCACACATTAGTTTCTTACTCGTTCCTTCTGTTATTTTAACCACGTTTCTAACTTATCTATTCTTCTTCGCTTGATAAACTGATGGATGTGCACCTAGCCTAATGGTTATTGGCGCGGCAGATGCAATCCTCATATCGAATTCGAAATACAAATCTATTTTCACCTCTACTTTCTGCGTACTATGTTAAAACAGTAGGGCTATCAACCTGTCCAGGAGAAAGTATTAAGTATTGTTAGGGGTATATTTTTCTTCACATTAGTAAAGAAAAATAATTATAACGTACAGAAAATGTTTACGTGTAGAACAATCACGCGGTCAAGCTAAACACTCAGTTGTGGGGCAAGCTGAGTGAATAATAACTCAACCTTGAGAAAGAGAGCTATTTATGGTGCCATGGAACATCTCATTGTGCTAAAGCGGGATAGTCCATTGCTTGGGCTGTGATTGGCTGCTGGTACATGAGTGGAGGTATTTCTGTATAAATACCAGCTTGATTTATCAGTTAGTTTGCAGGGTTTGTATTGAGTTACAACCTGCTTTATTTTTGTCTGCCAGCTGGACGCTAGCTGGGATCCTTACGCCGGTAAGTGCTGTTTATTGTATTGTTATTCTACATACGTATCATTTACTATAACTGCATCTAGTGAGATTTGAACTGACGAATGTTCACCTCCCGCCTATATTTTTTAATAATCAGAGTTCTGATTTTTTTTTTATTACTGAATGTCGCTTATTAATTTATTCACCGTAAGGCAAATAAAAACAGATGTGTGAGTAGCATAGCGGCTATCGTTGCGAAAATTGGCATTTGCATGTCGAGTTCAAATCGAAGCCATTACGTTCGGATTCGTACAAACCTCCTTGGGCATAATATGAATCCATATCTTCTCCCTCCATCTATAGGTTAAATAACAGAAAATACTGTGCTTTCTAGGTTGGTTTGTCAATCTGTCCCGTAAACAGACTATTTTAAATTAAAAAAAAAACGGACAGGCGTGGAAATACCGATTTATAAAATCCTGCTTTCTACAGAAATCATAGCAGTGAGTC